AAAGGGCTGGTTGGCTTTCCTCCCCCCGCCCGTCTGCAGTCCAGCTCATTCCACTGCCTGTTATGGAGAGGAATGTAATGGTCCATTCGTTCACAATCGTTTCAGTCTAAACTGATAGTTGTTAACGACTTAGACAATCCTTAAAAGGCGACTGAAACAGTCCCGATTCAATGCTAAATTCTAGAGATATTCGGAAGCTAGTTCTGGTCTTGTCCAGTCTTTTGGCACCTTTTGCCCATTTGTTAATTCATTAATTCTCGTTGTGGCACTTTTGAATTGGAGATAATCACTTACAGGGCTCAATTCTACGGGATGGAAACGAATATGTCATAAACGCTAGGAAATGGTTCACTTCAAACGCCGCTCACACTGACTGCCAAATCTGCATCTTCATGGGACAAGTAGCGGGTAAAGCGGTGAGTTCAAAGGAATCAAATTTTTTGTCGTCTGTAAACCACCAGGTCAAGTTTTTCTGCAGAATATTTGAGAGGTTAGGGGCAGACAGGGCTCACGATACCTTTCCGAAAGACCTTTTTAGTAGAGATCGGTAGTATGTGAAAATTTTCTGAATATGCTTTGCAATGCTCTGTGTGCCAGCTGCTCAGGAATTTGAGATGTTTCCCATAACATATGTGGGTGTGACATCGAGAGGAAGCCTAAATATTACAAGGAGCTTCAGAATCGGCTCAGCCCGAACCCTTTGTATGTTACCTACCGCATCGGGTTCCATAATAAAATTGTAGGATGAGTTCGTGTAGTTTGCAAACGGGATGGGCTAAAGGTAAGTCCCGGGATAAAGCCGGTGTATATGGGCGCTTCGTAGTGATGATGAGCTGGAGTGAACTGAAAGTGGAAAAGGAGAACAAGAGAAATCATCGAAACGCTAAATTAAGGCCTTAACCTACAGTAACGTCGGATGTGGTACGATGGCGAGACAGGGCGATCAAAGAAGACAAAACACGCGAGAGAGCACGCTGATCTCTATATCAATAGGGTGGGTGGGAAGCGTTGCAGCGAGGGTCGATGGTTGCAGGTTCGTAATGGATTAGCGTCCAAATCGCGCAATTTTGGCAACGAGGCTGGCATGATCTATGAGGTATGTACGTACCCGAAATTACCTCGTGGAGTCATTCACTAGTCAGGGTATCAAAAGGTTTGCCTTTAAAGGAAGCAGTCACGATAATTTTCATGGCAACGATAAGGAAAGCTATGTATTGGAGTGGATAGAGGTCCTGCCCAATGTTAGAACACGTAAAGTTTCAGTGGCAGTGGCGCCTTATCAACGGAGTGATAAGGCTCACATCCTTCGTAAGCGCCGAAGTTCATTCAGATATGATACCGTTATCGTTATCGTCCCGTTTTCATTCTGGAGTGCACCTCTTATCAAGCAGCCGCACCTTCTTATCTCATCGTATCATATCTTCCATGGGCTTACACTCGTCCAACAATTACTGCCTCACACCTTATCGATTGATAACGCGAGGGTAGCAAATCCAGCGTGGAAGCCAGCGTGACCGCTTCCTTTAAACGAAGAAAGGCCCGATAGTATCGAACGTGCCAACCTCGGAGACATATTACTGGGCTTTAGGTCATGTGCTCAAGAACATTTTGCTCTTCACTGTTGTCTACTGTAGAAAAACGCGGAGGTGATTATGTATGAGGAAACACTTTCAGGCTGGTCGATTTTCCCAACAGTCAATGGTGCTTGTCCCGATGAAAAGTACTGGTGTTCAGATTGTTAGAAAGAAATCTTCATGTTTTCGGTGCTTGATGCGCTCCCTGTGAGTTTTTCACGAAGGTATAGGTGTCGTTTAGGCTGGAATGAGAAAGTATTTGGAAATAGCGTCGTCTTGAAAAGTTCAGGAGCTCTCAGGTTATTAACGGACTGTTACAGCTGGTCACTGTGAAGTGCTCTTCACAAATGTTCGCGTACCCGTCGAAAACATGATTTTGGGCGAAGGCGACGAGGATTTGAAATTGCACAAGGACGGCTAGGACCTGGTCGAATTCATCACGCAATGAGGCTGATTGGTCACGCGCTGGATTGAACGTTGCACATTGACATCATGAAAGATCGGGTATGTTCCTTCCAAATTTTTCTCAAATTAGGTAGCTACTGGTATATCTCATTTGAGTTCACACCTACACTGAAACCAATTGAATACTAGATCCTAGCTAACCATGCCGCTATATTTTCTCCGGGCTTTTTCTAGAAAACACACCCTTGCCTCAATAAATCCATGAGAAGAAGTGGACGGGAAATAGATGGATTTAAGCGGTGCTAGAGCCCGAATCGATCTGGCACGCTTCTTGATGGGAATCAAATAATTGCATACTCGAATGGGCCTTCGGTTTCAGATAAGTGTACTCGATCTCTATTCCAGACATCCTATCGAGTGGCTTTTGGACGACGTCTCCGCGAATTCGATTCAATTCGGAAAGAGATCGCGCTGTCACGATGCGAAGTCGAGCAGGCGCGACTACTTGTTCTGAAGGCGGCGCAGATGATCGACACGCGAGGAGCCAAGGTATGCTTTTCTGAATCTCCCCAGCTGCATGCTGCAATCACGAATAGGTTGCTTCCTTGGCTCGAAAGAGCCTTAGCGCTCCCTTGATTCCTTATTCCATTTTCTTGATCCAGGTGACCTTCATTTCGTCTCCTAATCTTAATTCTTTAGTTTCACCCCTTAAAAGATTCGAAAATATATGTCAGTTCTGAAGATTCTTGTCCAGGCCCACCTCTCCGCTTTTTCAGATTTAGAGAAGGGCGCTATTATTAGGTTGGCAAGAAGTTCTGCAACACTCTTTCTAAAATTTTCTTTTTTTTGAAAAATTCATAGGTAACATTTATGACTAACAAATGGTAGAGCATTCTCGAGGCTTCAATCCACGAGGTGGATATAAGTGCTGCAGTCAGTAGTTATCCAAGAAAATTCAAAAAACCTCGACCACTAGTAAATCCATACTCCGAGTCACTGTCTAGTACAAATGTCTCCATAACTATGGATTCGTGTCAAAGACCGACACTATCTGCAATAGCTTCAATAGGCATGTCGTTCACCGCTACAGCGTGTTTCACCTTTACCAGCGCTTCCGATCTTTTGATATTTTTATAAGAAGCCAGCAGCGTCCCTCACACTCCATTACAGGTAGGGCTCTTACAGAAGCTCCACTACATACCCTTCGTTATGGGCACCATTGTGTAGGTAGAGGCCTAGGCTGTGGAATACCAGAAGCTGGCCGAGGCAGCTCGTCAAGAGCCCTCGTACCGCGACAATATTCATTTCTTTCATGACATTGCGAATCACCATGATCCGAAATGAGCCCGGTAAGAAATTCTGGAGTTGCGGCAAGATTTCTTTCCTCTCTTAGCGTAATCCCCTGGTCGAGCTGTAAATGAGTGCTACCTATCCTGGACCTTTAATCATCATCTTGATAACGAAATAATCAGACGATCAACTCCAACTCGAAAGTGAGGTCGCCTCCTTTCTTGACCCGCACTCCGCTGGGTTTTGGAAAAGGCGCATCAGGAAATTTTCTGAGCGTTGAAGACAAGTGGTGGACACTCATGATAGATATATGACCGGTCAGGAGTTGTAAACAAAAAAGATACAATTAAAATCAAAAAATTGAAAAAGTGTCGCAGTCTTGCCAGTCTAATAATATCACCAGTTCAGCTTGGCACGTTACCGCGCGCATGAGCACGGGGGCTCCAATGAAAGTGGACAGCCTCCAGGTTCCGCCACTAAACAATAAGTTATTTCGGTTGAAATGCTTTTTTGATAACCGTTTCATGGCCTAAAGTGAAGACTCACTATTTGATAGGCGCACAGTAGACTCTCCCCCACAAATTAGCGCCGTCCTCCGTATGTTTGATCACTTTGCGGAGAACCAACTCCTCACTGCAGTTGCTACGCGGAGCTGTGAATTGTGAAGTCGCATAGACTTTATACAGATGTGTCGCGTCGCAGCCCCTGCCATTCATACTTAAGACGGCACTCCTGGCTGCAGGAAAGCACACTACCGTGATATCATAATTGAGCTCGCCTCTTTATCAGCTTCTTATAGCCGTTCAATTCACGTTTTTCTTTCCCAACATATATACAGGGGGGGCCAAAAAAAAAGACATTTTGCCTATGTCGGACTTCGGCTCTTTTTTCTTCGCAGAGATTGCTGTCGTTGACGGGAGTTCCTCAGCAGAGTATTCCCTAAGTGTTCCTCTATTAGTGTACGCAGGCTCTCCTTCACTGCCCTCACCGTCTTCAGAATATGACGTCATCTGTCACCGTCGTCAGGCTCAAGGAGGTCTACCGTAAGAGCTTCAGCCTGAAGCTCTTACGCAATTTCGTGAATCGATTTAATGTTGGATAGTTTTCTAGAGGCATTAGCTACCACTGTGCAAATCCCCTCGGAACTAGCTTTCCAGTAAGGGTCGTTATGGTACACGATCCTTCGAAGACCCCATTGAGATCGACCAGTGCACCATGTTTCCAGGGCTAATTCTTCTGATGCCGTCCACGTACGTGGCCACTATGAAGATTTTCTTATAGAATGGAATGCACTCTTTAATAATAAGTTGGAACCGTTCGGTCTGAGTTGAGTAAAATGTGCTTAAATCCATCTGGAAGTGGAGGCAAAATGTCTTTTTTTGGCCCCCCCTGTATTTCCCTATAACCTCTCTTATAGCATATCATCAGAATCAATCTTTGCTGACGACTGCTTGCTGTGTCGCATGCTATGAATTTCGTGGCAAACACGCGGGCACACAGACCCCACGGACAGACATAGCGCTTTATTTATGGAAAGGATTTCAGACCTAACGTACTACTCGTGAACACTTCGAGAGTTTATGACTATTATTTCCATTTCTTGATTTCTTGAGCTGCGCACCGTTCAAACTGCCCTGCAACTACATGCTTTGCTGTACATTCATTTAACCCGCTTATTAATTTCAACACATCAAATCAAACTCAGAGAGGTCATATCAAGACCCCGATTTTAGAATGGGATCGTACTGATAAGACCCCGTCCTCGACACGATTTCACCCTGGTGTGGAGCTGTTACAGAAGAACACGTGTGTCATTTGTTTGGTTCTGATACGCGCCCAACATCTTGGCTCCCTTGACAGTCCCCCCACACTTGACCCGTGTGCATCTTTCCTCGTGAACTCACAGTTTAACTATCTTGTCTGATCTTCAAGGCAGCCAGATGTTGTGCCATAAGGACAATGAGATAAAAGGAATGAGATTCGTTTCCAGGTCGTTGCCGACACTGGTTTTGCTTTGATTCATTGTTGTATAATGTGTTGGGTCTTTTAAACAATTCTGCCGTTTTTCGACCCCGAACTTCAAGTGCAATGTCTCTCGGCTTAAGCCAAACCATTCAAGTTGAACTAAAAACCGGCCGATTGCGCTAACCTTTCGCTATAAGATGCCATTCTAGTGGGTACGTTCGGAATGCTGGAGCTCTGGAAGCAGCCAACTGAGGGAACGTCGTTCCAGCATCATGTTGGGTTTTTGAAACATCTCTCTTCAAGGAAGCTGTTGAGATCTTCGGAAAAACGGCAGTTGATAGACCAGAGGCCATCGAAAGCGTGTTCGCATCGTCCACTCCGTAGCCCAGCTGGTCCATCTTGCGTAGAGTTGGCGGTGCGATGTGCGTCCAAGACACCTTTGAGAGATGTGACCGTCCCTTCATAACGAGGAATACTGGAGCCATGACTCAGAGCGTCTGGTGAATTCAGAAGTAGTGTTGAAGGGAGCGATGTTGCGCTTCCACAGCGAAAGGTGCTGTGAGACGCATGGGTCGGCCTGCTGTGGTTGCTGAGCAGGACCTCCGCAGCACTCCGCCTCCAGCAGCGTTACGCCCACTTGTTCAGATGATGACTTGGGCGAGCTGTCTGCTGTTGGCTTTTCATTTTGGATGATCATTTCCCTTCTAGCGGCTGTATCTTCCAACTTGCCCACGTATTGCCTTATCAATCAAAACACTATGCTTGTTGGCATGATGGCGGCTATCGGGGTTAACACGTCCGAACAACGTCGTTCTTTACCGTCGCTCATCCATGGTCGAAAATGAAAGGGCAATCAAAGGGGTACTATTTTGCTTATTTTCGACGGATTTCTTTGCTTTTTTCGCCATTGGCGTACTATTGAGACCCTCACGTCCCCTCTAAACCCCTTTGAGATCTATCGTAATCGCTGCCTTTAAGGCTGCTTCTCCACTGTAACAGTTTCGCATTTGGATGCGAAGACATAGTCGCCGCTGATCTTGTGTTAGCTTGCCAATAAACTTCTTAAAAGTTTGTAGAGCTTAGAGTCGTTGTCTCTATTTAGCAAAGCATTTCTGTGAGCTGCTAGAAATACTCCTCATTCTACATTGTACGTGTCGCGATTCAGTAGAAAAGCGAGTCACTTGTATTATGTAAAACATGCTAGAAATTGATAGACCATCCTTCAAATTGGTGATTTGTCGCGGCAGCCTCTATCAAATTTTTTAGGTCTTTCCAGCTTCTTCCGTGTAATTGGCTGTACAAACCATATACGCCCACGTTGGGCAGAACCTCCTCTATGGTCTCTGCGGAGCAGTTCAATACGAACTGTTTGGCTATTATGACGTAGGGCAACGTCCGATATTCAGGTCACCTTTCTCATCCATACCAAGACTATAGCTTCGTTAACAGGTAGCATTTGAACACATGCGTTTGAAAACATTTCCTGTGCGAATCCAAGCAATGTTAATCGTTGATATTCTTGACTTGCTCCCGCTGCTTTTGTGTCTATTTGAAGCTAGAAAAAGAAAATCATGCCAACCGTCTCATCGAACATACTGCATTCAAACCTTTGAAAAAGTTACGAGGAAAGGTTCCAATACAAAGTTCAACCAAGTGTTGGATAGGGCAGCGAAAGTTCTTAAAGTTATCTCAGGTTTTTGTATCCAAATCGGTTGCAGTTTCCCTGGATTTCAAGGAAAATAATGCATCGAAGAGTGGAATGTCAGGAAACAAAAGAACTTTTCGAAAAGCCTTGTAGCATCTGTTGTTTCTTTTATATGGCCCTAATTCCTTTAGCTTCACTGTGAGTGTGCTGTCAAAATATGCATAAGGTCTCAGTTAATAGTATTTCCTCACACCATTTGAAGTGTCTTTCTTCCCTGTTCCGCAGAGTAAGGTATGGTATCTGTTGTTCAGGAAGCACAATCTGAAATCGCGATGATCAAAGGGTGGTCGCCCCGAACATGGCTCTGCGAGTTGTAGACCGAGCGATTCAGATGCTTGGCGGACGTGGTCTCACGTGGACACACCCCTGTCATTCTTTTACATAGCTGCCCGATCGCTACGATTGGCTGATGGCCCTGATGAGGTTATCTTTCCATCAACTGAACACCTTTGTTTCAGATCTGTATTTGCTTTCATCAATAACTCCAATAATTTTCAGGTTCACCTCGAGACCATAGCAAAGCACGAGTTCAAAAGTCGGCTCTGAGCAATATTTGTATATAGTTATGATCCTTGAATGCAATAAAGTATTATGTTTCAAAATTTTGGCGAGACACGACACAGTCGATGCAGGGTCAACCGCTCGTTGAACAAAATCCAACGGGGGCGGCATTGGCCGACGTGGGGAGAGGACTAGGAGTCAAAGTCTGCACTGATCGTGGAATGGCCGCATGCTATACGAGATAAAGCTATGAGATAAAGCTCTAGGCCCAGGTTCTCAGCATTAAATGATCAGGAAGAGGACGTTCGCTCTCACGCCAGCGGGTGAGGGTACAACTTTTGAGTGCTCTTTCCAACTACTAACCACAAACGAGCGCGTGGCGCAACTCAGAGCAGAAGAGTTCCCTGCAGTAGTGTCCATATGTGAGCACTCACGTACACAAGTATATTCCGAAGAGAACCAATGTCTTCAAACGGAACCTAAGTAGTCAAGCAGTGACTGTTATGGGTCTAAGTCTGCTGTACAAGCGTTAGACAAAAAAAAGTATTGCAAAAAAATATTGACAGGCCGGCTCCTGAAAAGGGTTCAGTAGTTATTACAGAGCACAAAGCTTCTACTTTGCCACCTCGTCTTATTTCCTATAACATTGAGTATGAAGGGAGCTGTGAGTGTTTGGGTGTTAAAAATTTCGCGGTTACAGGAACGTACTTCCGAAAATGCATGAAAATGATAGTCCAACGGAACGATTTTTCGAAAGGGTCATTTTGGGAACGAGTTCAAGTATTCATTAGAAAGCTCTAACCTTCTAGTTTCTTCCAGGGGGACAAGAACTGCAAAAAGTTGAATCTGAAGAAAGTTATAACAGTTCAAAGCCAAAAAACCAGCGCTCTGCAAAAATCGGTCCGCGATTTCCCCAAAACGGTCCAACGGGGCGATTTTTTGACTCCATCAATTTTGAAAAGAGTTCAAGTATTCGTTAGAAAGCTCTAACCTTCTAGTTTATCCCAGGGGGACAAGAATTGCAAAAGGTTAATTCTGAAGAAAGTTATAGCCATTGAAAGCCAAAAAACCTGGTTCTGGGAAAAAGTCCACGGAAGAATTTGCAAAGTTTGACTAGTTTCAAGAAAGAAAATGTTCTGGAGTTTCGAAATTTTCCTATCACTTCTCACACTTTCATGTTTGAAGAAAATTACAACTTGGACAAAAACCGCATAGTGAAGTTTTTGAGGAAATGAGCTGACCACGCGTGTTGATAGACGGCCCCGATGCGTTCCAGGCATTATGAAGCGGTTTCTTCGAATCCATTAACGTCTCCATGATGTCAGCAGCAGGTGCTCGTCTTCACCACTCTTCGTACAGCGTAAACCAGTAGATTTGAGTTGAACTCTAGGTGGCTACTTTCCAAACGCAAGCAATCTCTGGGCAGTTCAGCCGGCAAGAACTTCGCGCGAATTTCCTGGTGTGTCTATTTCAACATCTTAGCATCAAATATTGTTCGACCGCTAAATCATCCTGACATTCAATGCATGGTGGTTGTTTACATACACCACTTTAGCTCTGCACTCTATCGCGCGTATCAAGCGGTGAGCTTCAGCAGAAATGGGGAGGCTATGGAAAGGTCAGCTAAGGCATTTCACGATGCAAATCAGCGTTGCATCCTTGAGCGGTTGGACCTGCCGTTCCACAGATTGTTCAGTTTCACGGAAGCCCTATCGCTTTACGTGCGCGGAGCGTGCGGAGCTAAACTCGTATTAACATAAGCTGCAGAATCAACTTCCTGCAAAATTACGGGAGCGTTTTCCATCTTCTGCTTATTGTTAGTTGCATTTAAGGTCGCCATACCACAGGTGTTTCAATCGCCCTGCGCGAATTTATTGCTCCTCCGTGTAATGTGTGTGCACTGAGAATTATGGCGAGTTCATAGCTGATAGCGTTCACATTTTCACGAAGCACATCGAAAACTTGAAAAAAAAACATCGAATAACGACTTTGAAATGTTTTATGCGCAGACCATTTTCATTTTACATTAATTGTGCTTTTTCTTGATTGTTCATAGTATTAACAAATTTCCTCTCATTCTTTGGTTGTTTCGCCCGACATTCGTCTGACATCCTTCATAGGTTCCTCTTGTGGTATTCTATCCTAAACTTTGTAAATTTCGTTACTTTTTGTAACGGTACTTATTGTTGCAACCACTCTCCTTTTCTTCAATTTCCCCTTCAATTAAAGGCAAAGTTCGGGCTCAGACCCACCTAAGAAGCCCTTACCATGGCTAGAAGTGCTGGGTACGCAAGTGCAAAGGTAGCGCCACCTTTCTACATCGAAACGCGTCACTAGGACCCTAGGCGCCATGGACTTCTAACAGACTCCACCAAACATAACATGGTCCGCCCACCCGATCTTGTCTGCGTCGCTGCGTTGATCTGCTATGCTCTCTCTACCTCCTCTGCGCTCACATTATCTCTCATCTCCCTCCCTGTCTTTTGAACTTCTCCACAGCATTGAGCAAAATGCTCGTATTTTCTGCTGTGCATGTTCAGATTATTTTCCTTTTTCTCCATCTGGCGGTCCACCTTTCATCCCCAATTCATCTGAAGATTGCCGGATCAACCCATCAAATGTAAATCCTGATTCTTGCCCTTGAAGGTTCAACCTGACACCAGAAAGGGTTCGAAATGATTTTCGAAAAAAGTTATCGAGTAGAGTGCTCCCATTTTTCCTAGCAGTATCTCATCTGGTAGCTGCCAGCAATCCGAAGAGAGTAACATTTGCGTACTTGTGCCTTTTATGGATGCCATTCGCTTTGCTAATGGATAGCTAATGTCTGAAGTAATTTACACCGTTCGGAATTAAACAATTGAGCAGGCAGCACGTCGCAGAGGAATGTACCCAATGGACGTGTTTAAGCCACTAAGTATATCTCATGGTGTCTTCTCCACATAATTGCCCTACAATTGCTTAAGAAGTAAACAGCACGTTCAGTTGGTTTCAACCTTTCTGTGGGTTTCACGTATTCTCCACATCAAATGTCGTGATCGTGATTGTATTAGCCCACGTGACCATGTTTGAAATTTCGCTTATCACAGATTTCGAAGCCGTAGACTTCGACGTACGAACGGAAGCTTTTCCCTTCTTTGACTCCTTCGCGTCTCTGAAACTTTGCGCATGTCATGCAATAGGTTGTGCCTAGGTGATTCATTGAATGAATACTCGAGACTTCAAAAAACGTAGGTAACGAGTCAAGGAGCTCACTTTTGGTCGCAGAACAAATTGAGGACGGTGGTTACGGTATTCCCGAATATTAGCTCCCTAAAATGGTATAGTGAATTCCTGCGGTAAAATATTTATTCCATCACAATTATAGCGTTCCCATTGAATGGCTGAGGCTGTCTGCTACGCTAACAAAGCCAAAACATATGTTCGCAAGTCAGGAAAAGCTGCGTGGTTACTACGTCCTTGAACAGAAGTTCGGATTTTCCCTCAAAACCAATGGTGCCAAATATGTATGTTCGCCTACTGGAAATTAAACAAGGTGTGCCAGGAAGCAGTAATGAAGGAAAAGCAAGGTGACATTCAAGAGCTTGCAAAACAAAGCCTCAGTTTTCTCGTTGTCCTCTGCGCTGGAGAGTTTGAAAGATGCCGACGTCATCAACTTTCATCTTTGTCTCTCAAATGAGCATAGTGCAAACCAAATGGGCGAGCTTTGTAGTGAAGGACCAGCAGCTGAGGCGAGCCACTGGGAGGAGCATGATGGCGTCGTAGAGAGGCAGGTTAAACCTTTTTTACGTCCCCCCCAGGACAGAATAGCCGCCGCTTCCGGTCCCATGGAGGCTTCGAGCTATGTATATCTTTTTTCTCAATTGTGTTCCGCCTGACATGACAGTGTAAATCATACGAGGAAAGGAGAGCGATAACGATTCCTCTTTGCACTTATCTTTAGAAAGAACATAAGGAAAGGAGGAACCAGTGGCTCTATACTTTTGACGCCATGTTTTCCAAGGATTAAATCAGATAGAAAGTCCGGGTTTCTCTTGTATTCGAGAGTAGTTAACTTGTAACAACAAAGCTTCCATGAGGTAGTAAAAATTTGAAGCGGAAGGGGTATTTTCTTCCAAAGGTCTAGGGAAGAATGGGGTGAACCTATACATTTGGAATACAGTGAAAAAGATTCTCATACCGGTAAAGGAGCAGTTGAAATGACCACGACTACCTACCTTTCAAAGAGCACATCATCCTTTTTGAAAGTGTCCAAATCTGTATATATTTCGAAGGATTTCTTCGTGAACGGTGGCCGCTTCAATTCTGCACCATTAACAACCTTAACGACATGTAGTGAAACGAGGAGCAGGTGCAATTTTTTTTCCAAAAAACAATATTTCTGATGCTATACAAAGTAGGGAGATTTCCGATTGCGGCAAAGGGGTTTTTTTCCCTATACAAAGTAGTTCTCAGGAAATCCCGTAATTTTAGCTTCTTTAAGAAAAAAAGCGAATTCTACTCTTTAGCCAGGTCTTTTTGGCGTTGCTTTAAGTTGCTCAACAACGTTGGTGTATTAGACAAGGATGATGCATACCCATGTTCTTTGTTTTCCTGAATAATTACAAAAAAATTGGGCTGGAAAACTTTGCAGCCAATCATATTGCTTCTCGGTAGCATTTAAATATAGCAATGCCGACGGCAACGTTAGCCCCACTATTATAGGCTACAATCAATTCTTGGGAAAATACAACAAAAAACTCAAGTTCTCTTCTTGTCGAATACTAATTCGTGATACAAATGGAGGTGTAGGGGCACTTCCTGCTATCTTACTCTAACCATAAGTATACAGAGCATTCGTTTAGATTCTATCACTAAGCATTAGATAATATGTAAACGAATAAGTTGAAGTACTTTACGGCTGAGTGAGTCATTCTATGTAACTAAAACAACATCACTGCCCGTAACTATCTACGTGTCATTGTGCCACTCTTCTATTCAATTCCGAAAAGCATGATTGAGTCCCCCTTCTCTCCCAGTCATATTCATGAAATATGAAATTCAGTTTT